CCGTGGTGTCATTTGAAAGAACTTAATCAGTGGAGTATGCATCCCAAATATGAAGTTCCTATCTCCTATGGTTCAAAAGTTATGGCAAAAAGTATAAAAAGCTATTTTTAGCATATAGGTCACAGTCAAGGTCACAAGGTCATTGACCATGGTGTCATTTGAAAGAACTTAATCAGTGGAGTATGCATCCTAAATATGAAGTCCCTATCTCCTATGGTTCAAAAGTTATGGCAAAAAGTGTAAAAAGCTATTTTTAGCATATAGGTCACAGTCAAGGTCACAAGATCATTGACCTTGTTGTCAACTGAAAGGGCTTTATTAGTGGAGTATGCATACCAAATATGAAATCCCTATCTCCTATGGTTAAAAAGTTATGAAAGAGTGGAAAAAGCTATTTTTAGCATATAGGTCACAGTGAAGGTCACAAGGTCATTGACCTTGATGTCATTTGAAAGGACTTTATTAGTGGAGTATGCATACCAAATATGAAGTCTCTATCTCTTATTGTTCAAAAGTTATGGCCAAGGTTAAAGTTGACAACAGACAAACAGACAAACAGATAAACAGACAAACAGACAAACAGATAAACAGACAAACAGACAAACAGACAGGACAAAAACAATATACGCCCGGGATCTATCGATCCGGGCGCATAAAAAACAGATCAGATCAGAACTGAAAGTAAATAAGGGGGGGGGGGGTAAGGGCTTGAATTTTACACCCCCAGGGGGTCATGATTTGAACAAACTTGAATCTACACTACCTGAGGATGATTCCCTATAAATATAACGAAGCCTGGCTTTGAAGTACTTGAAAAGAAGATTTTAAAAGGTTTCCCTATGTGTTCCTATGTAAAACTTTGACCCGCCATTTTGGCCCCACCCTACCCCCGGGGGTCATGATTTGAACAAACTTGAATCTACACTACCTGAGGATGATTCCACATGAGTTAAATCTTTCCTGGCCCAGTGGTACTTGAGAAGAAGATTTTTAAAGATTTTTACTATATATTTCTATGTAAAACTTTGATCGGCAATTTTGGCCCCATCCTTCCCCGGGGGTCATAATTTGAACAAACATGAATCTTTAGGATGACTCCACATTAGTTTCATCTTTCCTGGCCCAGTGGTTCTTGAGAAGATTTTTAAAGATTTTTCCTATATATTCCTATGTAAAACTTTGATCGGCCATTTTGGCCCAACCTTACCTCGGGGGGTCATGATTTGAACAAACTTGAATCTACACTACCTCAGGATGATCCCACATGAGTTTCATCTTTCATAGCCCAGTGGTTATTGAGAAGAAGATTTTTAAAGGATTTTTCTTTATATCACTATGTAAAACTTTGATCGGCCATTTTGGCCCCACCCTAACCCCGGGGGTCATGTGTTGAACAAAATTGAATCTACACTACCTGAGGATGATTCCACATGAGTGTCATCTTTCATGGCCCAGTGGTACTTGAGAAGAAGATTTTTTTAAAAATACAATTAATTTTTCTCTAATTCATAATTATCTCCCCTTAGAAAAGGGCCTGGCCCTTCATATGAACAAATTTGAATACCCTTCACCCAAGGATACTTTGTACAAAGTTTGGTTGAAATTTGCCCAGTGGTTTTTGAGAAGAAGATGGAAATGTGAAAAGTTTACGACAACGACAGACAATGGACACATTTTGATCATAATAGCTCACTTGAGCCTTCGGCTCAGGTGAGCTAAAATGCAAAATAACCTATCAAGATCAATTGTATATCTTTCAGATCTGAAAGTTTGGTATAAATCGGACAAGCCACCTCTGAGAAATCGCTTGCACAAAATCGGTTGGAAGAAAAAAATGATAATATTTGAGTTCTGCTCTAAATATATTTGTGTATACTTTCCTGCCCGAGAAATATAAAAGGCGGGTCACTATTCAAAATTTCGCGCCAAATGCCACGAGTAAATATTCGCGCATTTTCTTTAGACTGATTTATTAAAAAGGTGTGATGGCTTCAATGAAATTAAATAAATAAAACGTTTTTTATCGCCTTTATTTTATTTCGACGTTAAGAAAGTATATCTAACACATTACACATTAAATATCGTATCTAGCCCAGTAAAACAGTGAAACGGAAATTAAGTTTAAGATTGACACTGAATTGCAACGTACTAATACGTGAAAGTCCAAGTAGTTTTTTACATTTCATGTATCCTTATGTCAGAATGGTTTAATCAAACGCTGAGCTGCCTCCATAAACCCCTGCACTCGCAAATGGCGGAGTTGACAAAAACAGCCGCCATCTTGGCCCCCTTCAGATTTTAAAATATTAATATCTATAATTCAGATTAACCAATATTCAAACACTTTATATAGTAAGCATCAAATTGTTAAGAGTCAAAATCAGCAAGCATCGAGCATTTAGTTAAAAAATGTGGAAAGTGGCATAGAAACAGATTTGGTTAAAACTCATATATAAATTTTCAGAACAAAGGGTATAATAGAAAAAAGCAAGCCAAAAATAATTTTTCGCATTGTTGCTATGGAAATCACGCGCCTTTCAAATAGCGTGTTTTGTACTTTATCATGACACTTGAATTTATGGTTAAACAAATATTTTTTATTACTAGTCATTAATAAAAGCTTTTTAAATTATTATTCTATTTATCTAAAAATACTCTATTTTAACAACTGTTGATTATTGAAATTCTCTTCACCTTTTGATAAATAAAACTAGTTTTTGGAGGTTTATTTTGATTTAAAAAACAGCAAATTTGCAGTACTCTATAAGAAATCTACAACCACATTAAAGCTTATCAACATAAAATATATATTAAACAGTATTTGCCCTAGAAGAATCAAGAAAAAAATCTGCAGGCAACTAAAGCATTTATATATGATAACTGATTTAATTCCATAATTTTCTGTTTTTTGCTTCAAATTACCTCCCTTTGGTATAGCTCTCTAACATAGGAGGAATAAACGGTAGTTTGCTTACATTGTTTTCGATAACAGTGTACAGAAGACTAGAAGAAAACTGAAGAAAATTACAAACTTGGAGCAGTCTGAGCCTCAGTTTTGGCGTTTTCGTGAGTCTTAATTACGGTTAGTGACTGAATTTTTTACAATTTACCATTACAACAGTTTCTGAAGAATGTATAACAGAAATTAACCATGCAGGAAAATATGTAACACTTGGCAAGTGTTTTTTTGCACATTTCAATTTAATTCTGATGGATTATATATGTTAGCATTACTTTAGTATTTTATAACTAAAAAGAAAAGATTATGCATGGCCTGAGGAACCAAGAGGAGGGAGTATGCCCCTCCTTCCCCTCCCCGATAATATTGCCGATATTAAACTATAATATGATAAAATGAAGATTAGATTGTTTCTGCGGGCCGAACGTGAAAAAGTTGGTCATGATCAGTTACATAACTGTATCCCAAATTATAAAGTTTAATTTGAATTTAGTTTAATTTTGATTTATGTATTCACAGCATGTGTGTAACCAAGTCACTCACCAGCTATAATGATTATAACTTGAGTGATGGTCGGGTAAATAAAAATTCTGTATATAGTAATAGATATCTTTATTTACCATTTAAGATAATACCTGCTTTTTATATAAAAAATTATGAAGTGATGAAAATCAACACTATTATGAAATATTTGTAAAATGGAATGACTTTTGTTATTGCGTCGTAAAAAAAGAAAAAGGGGCAGGGGGTTAACTCTGTACTTAATATATTTTAGTTTAGGAAAGGGGATTACCTTGGAAGTATTGTGATACAGACAAGTATATAATGTAGTGGACTAGTGGTAACTGAATTGTATATATACCACAGTAAAATAATAAATTAAAAAAAAAGGTTTTTGCTGATGTCATCCAGTGTTTACTTATGAAAGAAAATTCATATTCAGCTAACATTTTCACCGGTACCACTGAACTAATTTAAGTCAACTAGGTTAAATAATAGGCATCATTAGAATTACAACACATAATTTTTTGAAAAGAATTTCTATACTCTATTTTTTCTTGGGGGGGGGGGGGGGGTTACTGGAAAGAAATGAAAACCACAATTTAGAGTTTTGACAAAACCTAGAACCAATTGACCTTTTTATTACAAGTTTATAAATTTAAAGAATATCTAAAATCAACTTTGTGTTGTATACTTCTGTTTTTAGAATGAAATTCGCCACTTTGAAGCCAAACTCGGAAAGAAGCAGAAACAGAATTGGATGAGCTGATATAGAATTAGACAGGAAAAACGTGTAAATAATACATTTAGTAAAAACGTTAACTTTTTAAAATAAAATGATAAACTAAACCATTGAGATCTCTTGGAATTTAATTGATTCCAATAAACATGCTTTGTATTCATCATCATTGCTTCAAGCTCAACTAGAAATGGTTCTTAGTAAGTATCTGAAGGTAAAGCTGTATAATATTATTTAAGGAATGAAGATTATTTCAACTTATATTATACGATATAACATAACTTGGGGCAGTTTACGCTTTATAAACCGCGAAGCGGTTTATATAAAAGCGTAAACTGCCCCAAGTTTTCTTATTTCGTATAATATAAGTTAAAATAAGCTTCATTCCTTATAATTTAATTTCAGTGCAGACAATGAGGTAATTTTCTCCCCAGAATAAGGCTTCACAATGATTTAAAAGTAACGTCAAGCGGAGTAATGCGTTTTTTGACGTAACTCATTGTGAAGTAGGCAAGTTATGTTATCCAAAATATTATATGTTCCTCTGAATGATTCAGCCAATTAAATTGCTTGATACAAGTGAAATTAAATTATTACATTTTAATTTTATCACTTTTTCAGATTATCATTATGAGAATACATTATTACAGTACAGACCATTGATGCTGGAAGTGAGTGGATAGTGTAACCGGAGACTCAGGGATCCAGAAAATAGATCCATAAATTGTACAATGTATTCATGAAATATCAAATAAAAATGTTCAATCCAAAAGTAACATTCTTTGTTTGTCTGTTAGCATTTTTTTATTGATGTAAATCTAACAAGCTAATTCAGAGAATGTGTGTCCCCCGCTTATAGAAGGTTCATTTTATGTGGATTATTTATCACAACGTAATGATGATTTTATGAGTTTGTACCAGCTAGACCTCATAATTATTTTTCATTTCACATGTTGAATACTATCATTTAGTAAAAAAAAAAAAAGAATTTCGGAAAAGAAAAAAAAAGGATCGTCCGAGAATCGAGCCCTTGACCTCTCGCATGTGAAGCGGGAGACATACCACTGCGCCACGGTCTTTTCATTAGAATGTTAAAAGGTTGCACTTTTCTTCTATCAATGACCTTGAACTTGTTCAAATGACCTTGAGTCAAGTTTTTGACACATCTCTCGATCGCAAGCAATCTTAATATCAAGTATGAACTTTCAGTGGCACTTCATTGAAATGTTATGGACAAGTCAAAATTTTACATACATATGGATCGGTGAACAAGGTGATTCCTACCCCCCCTTTTTTTCCAAGTTTCAGCTTGTAAATATAAAATTCCTTTTGAAATTGAATGTGTATTTATTTATTAACACTAGTAAAGTAATGAGTATGCTTTGATCAGAACCAATATGGCCAATATAATGGACACTGAACATGTATTCAAATTACCCCTACCCCTTCAAAAAAGCTTATAAGTGCCAGATTTTCACACATTTTAACCATTTGTAACTTTTTTCTGCTAAAGTTGCCTGCAAATTTTATTGTATAGATATGACATAGAGATAACCCCTAACAAGATCATACCATTCATTTTTCCATCAGTGGTTGTAGATTTTGTGAATAAAGTGATAAACATATGTAACTTTTTTCAAAATTAATAAGCATTGACGCCATGTTCTTTTCCTGTTGTCATGGCAACAATATCACTACGGAAATTTTGTTTTTCCTATTTTTGGAGAATAAAGTAATTCCATCTTTTAACAAATAAAGTAACCAAAATACCTTATCTTATCACGTTCAGAAAACATATTCGTAGAAAAATGTCTAAAAAGCATTTATTTTCATAAGGATTTATGAACCCGTTGCTAAGGAAATAAATTTCTTTGGATACCAGTCCCTTCATACGTTCGAAAAAAATTTTAATTGTGTTTTAGCATTAGGTAAGACAAAATCTTTCATATACCAAAAGCTTTTGAAAAAATAAAATTTTGACTTTCCATTCAATGCTCGATGCTTGCTGATTTTGACTCTTAAGATGAATACTTTTGCTTCAGTAATGTATAACAAAATATTGATCATTAGAGAGTTATAGATAAAAGACTTTTGGCCCCTCTGAGACCCTAATTTGAGGGGTCAGCCCTATTTTGTTGACATCAAATGAAAGGTCTTGTGATGTTGCACATTTTTTCTTCAATATGTTTTAACAAAATATGAACAGGTGTGAAGATATGAAACAAAATGTGTCAAATTTTGTGAGATATTTCCGAGACATTTTTGGTCCCCACCGAGCGCCGGCGCCTTTTGCGCTAGATAGATTTGGAGACCCAATTACAACTCGCCAAACCTTCCTCTATTTTCACTTAAAATCTTAAGTTTATATCTTAAGTCGTTTCGGAGGAGTTTCCAGGACAAGCTGACCCTCTAAAAATCAGAAAATCGTCTATATCTCACGACCGGATTTGAGATAATCAACAAGAGGCCCAGGGGCCACATCGCTCACCTGAGCAATTGGCTAGGAAAAAAAACAGATCAGATCAGAACTGAAAGTAAAAAAAGGGGGGGGGGCAAGGGCTTGAATTTTACACCCCCAGGGGGTCATGATTTGAACAAACTTGAATCTACACTACCTGAGGATGATTCCCTATAAATATAACGAAGCCTGGCTTTGAAGTACTTGAAAAGAAGATTTTAAAAGGTTTCCCTATGTGTTCCTATGTAAAACTTTGACCCGCCATTTTGGCCTCACCCTACCCCCGGGGGTCATGATTTGAACAAACTTGAATCTACACTACCTGAGGATGATTCCACATGAGTTTAATCTTTCCTGGCGCAGTAGTACTTGAGAAGATGATTTTTAAAGATTTTTCCTATATATTCCTATGTAAAACTTTGATCGGCAATTTTGGCCCCACCCTACCCCCGGGGGTCATGATTTGAACAAACTTGAATCTACACTACCTGAGGATGATTCCACATTAGTTTCATCTTTCCTGGCCCAGTGGTTCTTGAGAAGATTTTTAAAGATTTTTCCTATATATTCCTATGTAAAACTTTGATCGGCCATTTTGACCCAACCTTACCTCGGGGGGTCACGATTTGAACAAACTTGAATCTACACTACCTCAGGATGATCCCACATGAGTTTCATCTTTCATGGCCCAGTGGTTATTGAGAAGAAGATTTTTAAAAGATTTTTTCTATATATTCCTATGTAAAACTTTGATCGGCCATTTTGGCCCCACCCTAACCCCGGGGGTCATGTGTTGAACAAAATTGAATCTACACTACCTGAGGATGATTCCACATGAGTGTCATCTTTCATTGCTCAGTGGTACTTGAGAAGAAGATTTTTTAAAAATACAATTAATTTTTCTCTAATTCATAATTATCTCCCCTTAGAAAAGGGCCTGGCCCTTCATATGAACAAATTTGAATACCCTTCACCCAAGGATACTTTGTACCAAGTTTGGTTGAAATTGGCCCAGTGGTTTTTGAGAAGAAGATGGAAATGTGAAAAGTTTACGACGACGACAACGACAGACAATGGACACATTTTGATCAGAATAGCTCACTTGAGCCTTCGGCTCAGGTGAGCTAAAATGCAAAATAATCTATCAAGATCAATTGTATATCTTTCAGATCTGAAAGTTTGGTATAAATCGGACGAGCCATCTCTGAGAAATCGCTTGCACAAAATCGGTTGGAAGAAAAAAAAAAATTGAGTTCTGCTCTAAATATATTTGTGTATACTTTCCTGTCCGAGAAATATAAAAGGCGGGTCACTATTCAAAATTTCACGCCAAATGCCACGAGTAAATATTCGCGCATTTTCTTTAGACTGATTTATTAAAAAGGTGTGATGGCTTCAATGAAATTAAATAAATAAAACGTTTTTTATCGCCTTTATTTTATTTCGACGTTAAGAAAGTATATCTAACACATTCTACACATTAAATATCGTATCTAGCCCAGTAAAACAGTGAAACGGAAATAAAGTTTTAAGATTGACACTGAATTGCAACGT